ATCAACACAGTCTAGTACGATACTACTTCAGTTAAGAAAAACTACAACCAAAAAATGGCCAACTTGGATTGTACAAAACTTCTACCACTACCTGTTCATTTTGTGAATTTTTCTGAAAAATTGCCACAAAAAATCTACAATAAAGAATAAGAGATTCTTCTTTAACTTTCTTTAATTTATTTGATTTAATTCACTTCCAAAACAAGGAAAAATAGAAAATCCTGAAAAAGATGTCGCCTATTGCCAGTGATAGTTATATCTTTGTGATTTACGAGTAAAAGTGAATTTTCTTTTATCGTCTTTGAATAGCTAACCTGCCATGTCAGTTGGAAGGTTAATATTCAATTAAATTTGCCTAGGCTTTATTAGTTGTAATTGATAATAAGTGCATGGAATTGCTCCATTTACTTTAATTCACTGATCACTGACTAGGGTTGCCAATTGCAACGCTAGTATCAATGCGTTTTTCTGAAAAAAATCAGAAAAACGCATTGATGCTAGCGCTGCGATTGGCAACCCTGTCACTGACGTACGCTTCCATTAGGCCTTCTCCAGACTACATTCTGACCTTAATATACTTTTCCGCGTTCGTTATCGCCGTTACAGTCTAACTTTTACTACTGGTTATAACCAGTAGTCAAATTCAGATTATAATCTGAATCTCTACGATGCAAATTTTTTAAACTGGCTTTCGAGAGTTTATAGTTATTCACTGAAATAAAACTGTCTTCGTGAAAGAAATATAATGCATTAATCAGAAGAATAGAATGCCTGATAATTGTCGAGATCAATAATCAGCGATGCTCATTGCTATAACAACGCAATGAATAAGCAGATGATGCAATGTATCGATCGATATCGGTTGTTTATTGGTCGCCATTCTTTTATCTTTGCGAACTTCCTATTGAAATGATACTAAAGTGTAATACAAACAGCGCGAAAGAAAAAGTAGACCGAACTTTTGTCCCAGACATCACGAATTTTGTCTGGTGCATGGGAAACTAGTTCTAAAGTTTATCAAGATTAGTCTTTTGGTACACATCTGCGTGAACCGTAGAAAAAACTCAAGAAATCATTTCTAGGAATTAGTAGTATTAAAACTTTAATTTTCTAAAAAGCTCCGGTTGAATTACTATGGTTCAATTTTCTAAAGTGATAGGCCGGCTTTTGATCGATTACTTTTTTCTCCACCTTTTTACCTAAGATACACGTCTTTTATGAAAAGGAAGCCTTTTATAATTAAAGAGTGAATATATATATTTAATTGCTTTAATTAAGTTTTAAGGCAGCTCACCCGTAACATGTTAGAGCTCAGATATTCAACCTTAAAGGCGTTACACATATTGAGACAATCTAAGTATCGATGAAGATTGAATTACAGAGTAAAGTCTAATAGCAAATCAAAAAGTGTGTTTCCTATTTTGCCATTCACTTGTGTTCTTTGAGGGGTGTTCTGTTGGTAAGTGCGGTATGAAGCATCCAAAAGTACAGTTTGACTGATTTGTGTTGAATATAAGCAGGCATGCACTGAGTAATTGACAAAGGATTTTATATATTTTCCAAAACCTGACGTTTCGTAAGTTGGTTCGTTAAAACTTTTTTGACGTGGTAAGAATATAGAGCAAACATTTCTCTATAAAATTAGAGATTAGACAGCTCTGCATGATTTGTTTTGAGATTTCGGCAGCGATATCCCATAAAGGACTAATCGAGTATTCGATACTTGTTTACTACTAGATCATGTGTTCTTGAGGTATCGCTACTAAAATCTTAAAACAAATCATGCAGACCTGTCTAACCTGTCATGTTATAGAGAAATGTTTGCTCTATATTCTTACCACGTCAAAAAAGTTTTAACGAACCAACTTACAAAACGCCAGGTTTTTGAGAATATATAAAATCTTTAGTCAATTACTCGGTGCATGCCTAAATATAAGAATCGAACGCTTCTGGGGTAATGATTAGAATTTTGTTTAGAAACTTTGAGCATAATGAACGTGCTCGTTCCTGAATCGACTTGAATTTTTCGGACCATCGAATTTCATCGTTTCACGCGTCAGCCCGTAAATGAATAACCCTAAATAGGCGCCTGTTGTCTGTTTCATGTATTTGATAACATTTAGGACCGTCCCGATCTCTCCAGCTTTAGGGAGAGTTAGTTATAAAATGACATAACTTCGAGCAAAAAAAAGTATCATTGTACTAAATTGTAGCTTATCTTAACCTTTTAATGCTTACCAAAAATTAAATTTTCAAATGTTTCTAAAGATTGGAGGGGGTGACCTTCTACCCCGTTAGGGACGTCTGTGATAACATTGGTCATAACAAGTATGTTTGTTGGATATACGGAAGAGGATAGGCATTGAACATGAGCAGGCTTCCGGTTGTTCTTAGGGATGGGAAGGGCTAAAAATTTTCTTCACAGAAAGTGGCTGATGAAAAAACGTTTTCGAAATTTTGAACAGAAATTTGCTGGTGGAAAAACGTCAAAGATTTTGCCAGAAAGTCCAAAAACTTTTTAGGGAGGGACCAACACGGCCCTGGCTCCCCCGGCACAGTGTACATTCAGGCGGGCATTAGGTGAAAATATAAAAAATTGATTTGGGAACGATTTAAACAGTGCAACATATACTTCAAACTGTGGGCTATTTAATGGCGTTAGACGTTTTGTTACGACGTTCAACTGTAGTGGAAAATTAGCCTGAAAATAGCATGATGATCAGAAATATTAATTTTACACAAAAATGACTAGTATAGTAAGCAAATGTTTTGTTAATTCTGAATCTCCGCATCATTTAGTGTAGAAAAAAACTTTCAGCTTGAGCTAAAGAATGTTAAGAAAAAAAATTAATGTTTTTCGTAAGTGATTTTCCAAACGGCTAGGTTTAGTAAAATGAGAACCCCTTCACATCCTTCTTTGGACCAGAACCAAAATTTCCCACAATGTTCTCCGATATGAAAGTTATCATCACAGCTAGTACAAATATCCACGGGCCCATAGTCTCTCCCTGAAAAGTTATTGTGAACGCGGTTCTTCCTCGGCAATAACTTGTGAATTTTAGGGCTTTTCAGGTTTTTCTAGCCGAATATTCCGAGACTACGAGAGAACTCGAAGCACCCTCTTCCTCGTGGCTAGATAGAGCATCCAAAGTTACATATGTTTCTCTGAAATACAGTTTTTATCTTCAACGCGTAAAATAATGTTTGTTTGGGGGGGGCCAGTCGTTTTGGACCAAAACTGCACTTTTTACAACGATCATAGAGAATCCAAAACAAAATGAAATCCTACAAAATTTGTAATCAAATAAAAGCGCCACTGAAGTTTGTCTGAATGCTGCAAGAACAAGCTCAAAAAATATACCTAATTTAGCTCATTAAATATGCCTAATTCAAACAATACTAATAACACTAAAGGTATGATAATAGAAACAAAAAAATACAATAATAAAATTCACATTAATTACCTCATCAATAAATAAACACAAATAAAAACAACAACAAAAACCAATAATTAATAGTAAACATACTAATACTCTGGCACCCGAGACCTCCTTTTGAACATTGTGAGTTGTCCCCATGAAACTGCATGTGAAATTTTCGAAATATTATTATCTTAGATACTATTCGAGTAGCTCTACAAAAGCGATCAAATTTCAAACCCGGTCGAACTCATTTTTGGGCTTGGTTTTCCAGAAATCTTTGTAACAATCTGGACTTTCGGGTAGCTTCTAGAAAAGTAGAAAACACTGAACTATGCAGTCCTTTTGAGTCTAAACATAAATCGGAGAGCAAAGCTGGTTCTTTATGAAATATGAGATCAAAATTTTGACGAGGATTTCTAGAAACCTGGCCCGAAAATTTGTCCGACCCGGCTTGAAACTTGGCGGCTTTTGTAGAACTACTTGAATAGTATCTAAGATAATAATATTTCGAAAATTTCACATGTAGTTTTCGTGGAGACAGCTCACAAAGTTCAAAAGTAGGTCTCGGATGCCGGGGTATTGGAGCTAAATGGTAAATATTTTTGAGCTTGTTCCTGCAGCATTCAGACAAGCTTCAGTGGCGCTTTCTGTTCATTTTCAAATAGGGCTGTTTCTTTTAATCTTTGGATGAATTTTTCTCGAATTAAAAAACGTAATTTTGGCCAGTGACAGTTAAATTTTTCATGGAAAAGTTTTGTATAAAAAATGATAAGAAAAAATTAAACTTTTGGTGAAACACATGCAACCTTTTGTGCTCTTTTCAATCATCACTGTTAGAAAAATTCAGATGTAGTGATGAAATTGGTAACTAGGTACTCAGAGGCCCTTGAAAACGAATAAAATCGTCTTTTTCGAGCTATGGGCGGCCATTCTCGGAACCGTTTGAACAACCAAAATATCCTATATAGCTATAATATAGGATTTATAAGTGATTTTTCATGCTCTGGACGATGACAAGAGTCATTTCTGACCGGCTTTCAGATCATTTAATACAGGGCAGAGCTGCGAGGAACTACCCGACGATCGGAAATGAGGCTGATGCTTTTTCGTTCATTTCACTATGGCATGATCTATCTTCCAGATACGTCCTTGTCAGATTAGATGAGCAGATAAATATGAGCTACTATAATGACAATTAGCATAAAAATTATTGCTTTGTATGCATTGGACGGACGATGGAAAGTGCGATATTGAGCATATTAAGAACTTGAGAGAGGTTTGTCAGTTGATGCTAACACAAAGAACCAATCAGATAAGGATGTTGTAACATAAATCGTATTCATTCTCATTTTACAAAGCACATTATTTGTATTTGATAGATTTATATTATAATTAAGAGACAATCAATATAGGTGTTAATAAGCTAACATAGTCTGGTAAACAAATATTAATATTTTATGCTATAGTATATCGTTTTTCATATTATGACTTCGTCCAGTCAAAAGAACAATTAGTAGCGCGTTCTCTTTATATAATGATTACACAAGTACTGTACAATATATACAAACAAACAATAGTCTAAACCTGATTACTGTCGTCGTTTGTCTGCATATTTGTCTGATCGTCAATCTCATCGCTTGGACAAAACTGAAAACAAGAAAACAAAATTAGTTTTATTTTACAAATATCAAAAACAGACACAACTTACAAAATATTCGACAAGACTTGCTTTATCTTCTTCGGTATAGATGAGAAATTGAATACACAGTATACCACGACCATCGATTCTTAATGATACTTTGGTTGCGATTGTTAAGGCTTTAATTATATATTGGAAAAATTGAGTTTTATACCTTAAAAAAATAGATCTATATTTACACTACTATTTTCGTCTGTTATGTCTATTTACCTGTTATGTATTGTTTGTGTACATAAAAATGATTCCATTATTTCCGATGTTTTTGTTATATCCACCGAACTACTACCTCCAACACCATTGGCAATAAGTCGAAATTGTGGATTTTGCTCTGAAATCAATAATTCAATACAATCAGCTTTTAAATCAATTTCCGATAACGCTTCTTTGAAACCATCAGCCTAAAAAACCGAAGACGATTGTTCATAAACCAGAAGAATCACGAAATCATATTGCCATAATACCACCATTACTACCTTTAACATAATTTTCGCTAATATATTTTCTGTTTGAAACTCAAAATCAATTGTTTCATCTGCGTCCAGTAATTTTATCGAACATTCAGTAATAACACCATGTTCTTCTAAACTTCAAACAACCAGAAAAGAAGCATGATGAAAAATAAATAGTAATTTTGTGAATAATTACTATAATTGCAATGGATGTCCTTCACCCATATAGTAAATTTGCAGTGCAACAATAGAATCACTATTTTCAGATAAACCAAATATATTCAAACATTCCTAACGAAGAATAAAAAATCAAAATCTAATCAAAATAACAAAGAAAACTATCACTGCATAATCGATCACCAATGTAGGGGATAGTTGTGAAAAATAAAAAAACATGAAACCAGAGCTATACTTTGCGAATGAAAGATCGAGTGAGACACTTAGTATGAATATCACTGATTGACTTAATATATCGGGTGGGCTAGAAAAAACGAACACTTTTGTTCGTTGTTTTTGAGGCTTTGTCCAGTGGACCAAAGATTTCGTTTTAAGCTCAATCGACAGAGAATTGAAGTCTTTACAAAACCTACTATTTGAATCACTGATAGTATTTTTCTCCTTTAAGCATCATTCAGAATATTGAATGGTATTGAGTTGTCAAACTGCGAAACACTGAAAATAGAAAAATATTTGCCTGATCAAAAAACAGATTCCATAAGAATTTTGAAAACATCAGAAGATTCACTGGAAAATTCTGTATCTTCAATATTTTTCGAAATTTTGCAGTTAGATCTTTTAAGAAAATTTCTCTGTGCAAAAAACTGATAAATCTAAAAAACCTAACTTTTGAACCTATTTTCACAGACTTTGGTTTTGGGGCTATAAACGGAATAAAACGTTCTGAATCCAAGGTTTTAGTCTTATTATCTTACACAGAATTAAATTCTATATCTTTTGATATATAAATAAAGTCTCTCAATTGAAACTATTATCAATTTAATTTGAAAAATTGAAAATTCGGTTGAGAGCTAATTATGAGTCCAGCTGACGTACCGCAAACATTGTATGAAGTTATAAATGAGTGAGATCGATAGAGCACAAAATCCTTTATCTTTCTACCAAGAAAAATTAATAAATAATAAAAATTATTGAATCTCAGACAATGGGCTAAAAATCTCAAAAAAGGAAGCGATAAAAGCACGTCGCAGTTTGACAACTCAGCACCATTCAATATTCTGAATGATACTTAAACGAGAAAAATACTATTAGAGATTCAAATAGCAGGTTTTGTAGAGAATTCAATTCTCTGTCGATTGAGCTTAGAACGAACTCTTTGGACCACTGGGCAGAACCTCAAACACAACGAACAAAAGTGTCACATTTTTTCCGGACCATTCGATACATAATTACAAAATAGTTTTTCTATACAGTGATTGTCGTCATTCTTACCAATAATGTATTTAAATGTATCCGAAATCGAATATTTTTAATTAATTCATAAGACTGAAATATTTGCGCATCAATAAATGCGTTTCCTTGAACACATTGAAAATCTTCGACAATCGCTTTTAAACCCGATGGTAATCCACAAAATGTTGCATGCTAAAAAAAGAGTCTAAACACTTTCGCAAAACAAAATATTAATATCAACATTGTTACTTACATCTGAAAAATGAATTGCTTTCAGTATACTCGCAAGTGTTTTACTATTATTCAATTTTGCAGCTAATACATAACGATTTGCATTTTCATCATCATCAGCGGTCAAATGTTGAACTGACATATCTCAATGAGCTATTTTATACACTATCTAGAAAGAACATACTGTCTTTCAGTATAAAATACCTGATAATAGTAAAGTTTTACAAGCATTCGAGATGTTTTCTTTTAATTAAACAACCATGAACCGTCTCAAATAATTATCGACAAAATCTGATTTTTAAACTTTGTCAAAGAGAATACAATTGTGTGTTGCAGTATGTCAGCAAAGTTCCTGTTCAACTTTGTTTAACACAAAATTTATGCCTTTAATGCATTATGTTTTCATAACGAAAAGTACTGGAAGATCTGAAGGTAAATACAGTATTGCTCAAATCGAAGGATTTGTTTGCCTATTATTGTAATCCATGCTTTTGAATCCCAATAAGTGATGATTATGAGAACATTTTACTTCAAAATTTTGAACAGTTAGAACTTTTTTCTAAAGTTAAGAAAAAAAATTAGCATCAGTTTTCTAGGTTCAAAATAATCTGTGACGCAACCCCTATTTCTTGAATCGCCTTTTTCAAGACATCGTATATCTTTTTTTATAAAGTCATTCTTCACGCTAGATTAACGATGAAAATGAGTAGACATAAAATGGCGACAAGTTGAAAATGGGAAAAAACTTAAAACGTCGCAAAATTTTAAAAAATCAGAGGATTTATACGTTTTTAATATGAACCAAGTAGTTGAACTCAGCTAATATAGAATAGAATCGGAGGAATATATGTCTACGTTTCTTTTCATTTAATTGAGTTTCAAACGAATAATTTAATTAAAAATTTATTAATGCCGCATGATGTTACGTATGACACTCGATGGACGTTTGTAGATTATATTTGTTTGTAAGAAACATGGTTGCACACTTTAAAACAAACTCTAACCATAGATAATACATTTCATGCAGAAAATGATTCTTTATTGATGCCACATAAAAACAAAAATATTTTTGTGAACAATAAAAACTAACAAGCAAAAATCGGTATGTTTCATACAAAAGAACAGATAATAATCAATTGGTGCTTGCAATTACTTCGCTCATTCATTACATTATTTATCAAAATGTAAAATGAAATAATAGTTAGATTTCAAAGTTTAAATTACTCAACCAGACGTTCGCTGCGTAAATCCACGTACACATCGAAAAATGACACTTTGTTCATTCTCTCAAATAATTTCGGGTTAATATAATAATTTTGGGTTAACAATAGAATGTACAAAGGAGATTATTGGCTGGAAATTTTTAAGTATCCCTCTTCCCTTTTGACCGTTTAGAGTTGTTTACTGTTGTATGACAACCTGTGTGTGACGGAATTTAGACGAATTTTTGCACGTTTTATAATAATTGATTGAATCAGATCAAAAATTTGTTTAAAAATTTCATTACACACAGGTTGTCATACAACAGTAAACAACTCTAGACGTGTCTATTTTGTCAAGAGACTTAAAAACAATACTAATATCTTGTCTAAGAATGCAGACTTGAAGTTTTTTAATAAAAGTCCAAAATACTTATCCAGGATCAATGTCACTAACAAATGAAGATCAGAAAGTCGTCCCACAAAAAATAGTGACGTTCACTGACTAAAAGAAGGATCGAATCAGTAAAAAATATGGAAAAAAATATGGATTTTTTAGTTGAAAAGGAGAAGGAATGTACCTTTAATTGTTCGACGCCCTCGAAGCGTCGTTTTCTCAGAGATGCAGGAGAATGCAGCAAGACAAAGAATTGGCTATAAACAGTGTTAAAAGTATTCATCGATGTCAACATACAAGGATCGGCGAAAGCAGCGGCTGCTACAGTATTTATGAGAAGATACTGGACACAACCATCATCTCACTGCTCGTTATCTTAGTCTTATCGAACAGACGTGTTTTACTTTGCGACGCTTCAATCATTATTTATTAGTTTTTTCGACTTCGAACGTTGTTATCCGACATAACCATTACCTGAAAAGCGAATTCAAACGATTTATTCTATTTAGAGATATTTTGAACTCCAGCTTTAAGTCTAACCTTAAGTTCGGTTCGGTACTAATCTTATTTGATATCTGATGACCGTTGAATAATACGTAGAAGAAAATGGAGATAAAGACACCGCAACTAAGTGAGTTTCACAAGTGACTGGCTCTATTTCTGCTAAATACTTCGAGCCCAAATCTTATAGAAAATCATGACACTGTGAAACCAAAGCGCTAATATAATGAAAAGAAAACTGCTGGTACATTTTAGAACCAATGACAGGCGTACAGACAATTTATGAGATGAAACAAAGTACAAGTTATAAAAAATACTTACAAGCAAAAAGACAGTAAGTTAGTAGATATTTTAATCAAAAAACCACAAATTGAACAACAACAAAAAACAAAGACGAGAAAAAAAGGGCTATTATTCATTCGGCTTTGCATGAACAACACCCGCTCCCATTCGTGTTGGGTCTTGAGATGGATAATGTACACTTTGTTTCAATCCTTGTAACATACCAGATGATAATGGAGGAGGCAATGGTGCATTGCTCATTAATGGTGGCATAAACATAGGAGGCAATGTTCTGAGAGCTGAGGGGTGCATATTTGGATTTGGAAGAAAGCCTGGTAGCGGAGGCGGGGGTGGAGGAGGTTGTGATAAACCAAAAAAATCGTTTTTATTAATGTTTGCATCGTCAGGTAGTGGAACGACTGAAAATAACAAGAAAATCTAAGAAACGAGGCAACAAAATCTTGTAAACTTACCCATAGGTAAACCAGGTACAGGTTCGTACATGACTTCTTGACCGTCATTTGTTGACTTTTGAGCTGATGGTGGTTTACCTAAAATTGAATAGATATTATAATTTGAATAAGTTATGTGAAACGCTTTTATGGGCTCGTTCAAGTAATGTTAGACGAACTCTGATCGAGCTACATGCTCTAAAACATATTAGTCTCGACAAATATTTCTCTTAAATATAAAACAGTCATCTCGGAAGCGAAGTACGTCGGTTTCAGACCCTAAATTTTCATTTCTCTCTTTAAACGTACCCCATTTTATTGTTAAACGTTTTCCATCAATAATTAGTTTATTAAATGATTCATTTGCAGCTCGTTCAGCTGCATCACGTGTTGTAAATTGAATAAATGCACATGATTGTTTTGTCAACAATGTAACGGAGCGAATTTCACCATATTGATAAAAATAATCACTAATAAATAAATAAATATTAGGTAATTAAAAAAGATCGATAGAGTAAAATAGAAATTCTTACCGTAATTGTTGTTCAGTTATATCAGTTGCATTGCCAACATAAAGTGTCGTGACAGTTTTATCTTCCGGTACCTCTAACTGTGGCATTTCTTTATATCGCTGCATTAATTTGCTAGCAACAGGGTCATTAACACCATAAAAACGATCTCTGATATTTTGATTAGATAATGGATCATCTGGATCTGTTGGTTTTTCATGTCTAAAACAATAACAGATATATTAGAGAAATTTGTGGCAGCCTTTGTCTAATTGTTTTTCCATTAGTTTTTTCTCTTACCCATAAACAAACAGAGAAAAGCATAAAAAAGTACTAACACACTATTCAACAAAAGGGCATCTATATATTTGACTGTGCTTCAACATAAAAGCAACCAGACGAATTCTTCTACTGAAAAATTGTTCTCTTAGTTATGGAAACAGATGGGAACATATGAGATCTACATCTTACTGTATCGCATGGCAATACATACCTGTAAGGACATTCTTCGCCTCGTTTACATTCTCCTTTAACCCAAAATGAACAAATATGTGGCCTATTTCGTTTATAATACGGTGTTGGACGCGCTAATTTCAATAACAAATCACTAGGCGGTTGTGCTTTTCCTAACTGCCCATACGGCTGTGGTTCTTCGTTGAGTGCCAGCTAAAATAGAAGAAAGAAAGCTTTTTCAGAAAAGAATGGTGAACTACTTGATTTTACTTACATCTTTTTCAACATTTTGTGTAAAATATTCTTTATTAACCATTGATGTTGGTATCTCATCTGTTATTTGCAATGCTTGATCCCGAACTTGGACAGGTAAACCTAGATAAATTCCAAAACGATGATACACCGAAACTAAACCGAAGTTCTTAGTCTAAAATTCGTACCATATTCAAGATCCAGTAAACACGTCTGACAAACATTTTTCAATTTGCTGCATGTCTGGCATATTTCCGTTTTTTTATATCTCATATGAGCACCCGGACACCAACGAAAAATTGTAAATGGTCTATTGCAGATTTTACATTCTTTTCCAAATTTATCTTTCATCTGAAATAACAGCAAAAATAACCTAATCGTTCAGAAAAAAGCTCTCTTAATAGTCACTTACCATACGAATATAAGGATTGTCGCCCAAACATGTTTGACAAAGTATTGGAAAATCAGAGTCTTCCCAATTTAAGCGATTGTAAGTATTTGACAAGAGAGATAACGACATCTGAAAGTAAACAAGGCTTATAAATTGGGATAGAAAAGGCAGTCTTAAATCCACATAAAGTTTTTCTACATGCTTCAGCTGAATTACAAAGTTTAGTGAAGAAAAGATACGTTCGGAGCATGATTCATCATAGACTTTTTCCATATTAACTGCTTCAGTGAGATAATAAGATGATTTAGTATTTCTAACTCTTCTCCCATGATGTCATTGCACAATGAATTGAACCTGTCATGCAACCTAATTTTAATAAAAAAACTTGATTTAATCAATTTTCTTTGGCTCAAAATGTGACAACCATTTCTTAATATCTATAATCTCTCTCTTTCTGATTGATAGTTGTAAACCTCTTCGAATAACCATGTAAATGAAAAGAATAACCGTTAGTTAACAAACCGTTCAAACGGGTGAAGATAGGCTACAAAGATGTGAAAAAATCTTGTCATTTTAAGCAAACAATGTGCGTATGCGTAAGAAGTCGACCAATCAAAAGCGATGATTTTCCCTTTTCAGTTTTTGGTATATATGCTGCATTATTGACAACCACGGCTAACTATGCACGACCTCTACTAGCTAATTCCCTAAAAATATGTTTAAAAACCTGAATTTTATTAGGCAGCTTCAGATGAATAAACACAAAGTTTTCTTTTTCTAACTAGAACACTTTCTTGAACTTTTCAGAAAAGTGAGCGTGATAGTTACCGCTGAAGAAGGCAAAAAATCTTTTTGTTTACAGTATAGCAAAGTTTTCATGAAACGGCTCAGTATGAGAAGGCTAGATCTTTATACCTTAAAAAAATGATGAATTTGATTTCTGTGGATCATGGAGAACACATTCTTTGTGATACGCTATTGGCAGAATGTGCTGAGCATTGTCATTATAGCGGTTAGAATTCAAAATTCCATTTGCTTATACCTGCGACAAATACGATTAGGTCCGAGGATTTCGACAAGGTCATAGGATAGTCACACTATTATGAGGATTATGGTGACCTACTGAAGAAAAATCGCCATTGCATCGTACTGGTGTCTCCATAGCTTTTTCAGTCTACTGCTTGACTAAGACGAAAAAGATCTTTTCGCACTGAATGAATGAATGAATGAATGAATTTTATTCACGAAAAGTGAGAGTCATCAAAGGTCATCTTTTCTGGAATCGGATAACGTGAAAGATCTTTTCCCAACATGGTCGATTCTCGCGACAGTTTTGTTGGTTTTTCATTTTGTTGCGCTTTTGTTGTTGGATTTAAACTACTATTATTATTTTTATTCGATACTTCGACCTTTAGTGATCTGTTTCTTTTCGTGCATAGTCGAAGTTCATATTTCTTTTCTCGAAGCCGTCGACAAAGTTTTTTTAAACTGTTTAATGCTGCATATATCTTCGGCCATCGTTGTGAACCATCTCTCTATAGTAAGCCAGAATAAACATAAGGATAAAAAACATAAAGGATGGCATGGATGATGCATACCATTTGATTATTTGGAGAACAGGAACGAAGGAAAAAGACCCCGCCTTGCGGCTACTTTGCGGTATAGGGTGCTACCGAAGCAGTTTCGATAAGCCCGATATCGTCCCTACACCTGATGATCTTCAGAGACGGTCACCCGTACTTCTACTAGTCATCAAGCAAGCTGTAGCTCTGGACAGAAGGCCAGCCTGACACAATTCTTTTCGCTTAATTGTTCGAGCCCCCCATACACACTCACTAACCATATGCTAGCACCGAAGTAGCGGTGTATGTCACAACGTAGTGAGCATGCTATCGGACGGGTGATCCGAGACAGTAGCCGTTAGTAACTTGTCCCAGGTTATTCTATGAATGGATGGCGTCGAGGTTGGAACACGGTACCTGTGAAGTACGTGCCGAACACATAACCACTCAGCCATAGCGGCTGGAGAACAAGACATTTGCACATAAACATCATCCCAACTGTAGACATTTTGTCCATTGCTTCGTGCAAACTAAAAAGTGAAGAAATAATAAATAAATCCTCGCAAAAGTGACTGTAAGTTATGGAGGAGAGATTGTCCTCCCTGTTTGTGATTTCAAAGACTCTTCAAACTAATTACGAAACCTACCTTTTCATTTCAGCTGACAAACTCACTAAAGAAGTAAAAGTATGCGCAAAGTCTCAGTTTATTTAATTGTCTCCCTCATTCTCTGGGATTTAATATTTAAAATTTCCTATTATTTCCTCTTAGTGTTCATCAAAGGCATTAAAAACACGCTTTGATAAAAAAAAGGAAAATTTTTAAACGACTTCTGATTGGTCAATTGGCCATTTTACTTAAAAGGTTAATGTATTGAAAAATTCCTCAGTACACTTTCTCAGCGTAGCTTATCTTAACCTGTCGACAAACTAAATATCTCTTCAAAATCATTTGCCAAAAATATCGTACGAAAGTGTTCATATAACAGTATAAATCTTGTTTTATCTGCTATTGCAAATTTTGATTAGTTTTGCTAATTCTTATGCTTAAAGACAATATTTGCCTTGTTTTTCTCTTTATTTCGAATTAAGATCTTTTTTATCTCAATCCTTTACATTAAGCATCTGTTTTTTTAACATCTATCAGTAAAAAATAGTTGCCACAAATAACGACAACGATTATGATCACGTTATTAGCAAAGCTTATAACCTTTGCTAATAACGATCGCAAACTTTTAACTATAATTAAAAGTTTATGTTCGTAATGATTTTGTTATTCAAGATGAATCTATTGTGTAAAAAATTAACTGTGTTGATATTAGTCTTATTCAGGGATAACGATCAGTTACGATACGATTGAAGTCAAAAGGACCTGATCATTCTGACCCAACTAAAATAATAAAAATATTGAAAAAAGAAAAATAATAGACGGATCTACCCGGTATCCATCAAAGAATATACCGCTTTGGTACTAATAGAAGATAATATTTTCTGACTATAATTCGTTGTTAGTTTGCCACAGGTTGAGTCGCAAAAAAAATTGAAATGTACGGGACATCATCCTTCACGATATCATATTTTTCCGTTTTATTTCGTTACTTCTTTTTGCAGGAAGCAGTAGAGAAAAACACATATTATTGTCGAGAAAACGCCCATTGAAAATATGAAAATGTAACCGACTCTCTGCGCGTGAAAAAGGATGAAGTTAGACCATGGAAATGTATTTCCGTTTTTTTTCCGTATTTCTGACCTGAGCATCTGGCAACTGTGATTGTTATTTAATGTAAAAGATCAATAAAGCATAAAATTAAGCTCGTTTATTTGAAATCATTTATTTGCTAACAAAAAAGCATGGCATGATTAGACTTTTGGCGACAAACTGAAAGTCAATGCAAAAGCGATGACACGTTTTTGGCATCCAAAGCAGTTGTGAAAATAATTTTTTTCTTCAGATAAGTTAAAATGAACACACTAAAAAAATTTCGGTGTGGAAGATGTAAAAAGTCCAATGGATCTGGAAAAGCCACGATAATGTCAAAAATTCAAGAGGGTGGTGGTCAGCGATATGTATACGTTGATTCGTATGACATTGACTGGGGAGATGTGAAAGATAAATTAATTGAAGTTTACAAGTTGGGTATAAGATCTGCTCCAGCATTATTTTCATATTTTCTGACGCTGTTTTCTTCCTTAGACCCAAGATTATCAGCTAATTATGAATTATTTGATTTTAAATTAAATAAACTTAATGTCAACAGTTATGATTCGTTGTTGGCTTATTATAAAGGAAATGGTTTAAAATTAAGTAATACATTGGTGTATATATATGCCCCAGGTAACGAATAAGAAACCATGATGGCTTTATTTATTAGCGTTATGCTTTTGACTAACAAAATACGAGTTTTCTTCCATGTTGAGATATGGAGTTTGTATTGTGTGTCAAAAGCCGAACGTGGATGTTATCTCTATTGAACTTCTAGTTTAATGGCTCATTATACAACTAATATATTTTACTTCTTTTGTAGAACAAAAACAAAATGTTATCGGACGAAAATCCAAAACTGATCGTGTTTCGGAGAATATGTAAGCTTAACTCATCACAACTTATGTTGTTTATTCACCTTTATGCACTATTTTTTTTATAGAAATGTTGCTGACACTGCACCAGTTGATTTTTCTCCGGTGATTGTTGAGGCAGATTCATCTAGTGAATTAAAGAGTGAACCAAACGAACAGTTGAATATTTCAGATCATCACTATTCACCGAAGTTTGTTTCTTTTAGGTTATATTTTCCTATTCTATTATTAAATTTTTTCTTCCTTCAGAACTCGCATTGAAACAACAACACCATGTGAGTTGCATCGAGATAATATCAATGCAACTTTTGAGGATTTTCACATCTCATCGACAACAAATTGCTTGCATCAACAACAAGATTCAACGCCACCTTACACAGCAACATCTGAAGATTCCTCGTTAGTATTCGACTTTTACTATTTCTTTGCAAGAAGAAGGACATGAAAAACTAAACCAAGTGCAAGAACGGAGAAGAATATTATCAAGGAACGATCTCGCGTTTTTTTTACATATGCATTTAGGAAAGTCACAACCTTATGAGCTGCGTTTTGTTTACGATTTTAACTAATGAGAAGGAAGAATTTATTCCTCAATATGATTATCTGAAAAAAGAACTTTTACGATCAAAACCGATTTATATTTTTAGCTTTTTGTTCAACAATATGGATATATTCTCATTTTCGAAGTCGATGGAAGATTTAGTTGAAATACTAAAAATTACGATTAAACAATCCAATTGTCAGGGTTGTTCCGAGACAATAGTGTCCATATTAAGAAAATGTTATTCTTTAAACTCTGATTCAGAACAACTCGATGAATGTATGATGCGCATTGAAACAGAATCAACAACAATGATACAAGACAATACATTGACGACATCGATATTAGACAAAAATTCACAATTATGCAGTGATGTATGGAAATTAATTGAAAAGAATGATGATATTATTAAAGTGCCTGGATTTTATAAAATAAAGAAATTGTTTAATGAATATCTGAAAAATGTGAATAATCTTTCAGTCAAATGGAATGATCATGTGAAAAAACAAATAAAATTAAATACCAGAAATACACATAGTAGACAAAAACAAGTAGAACATCGAACAATTAACAATAAAATTCATGAGAAAAAAACTCAACATCATAGTAATAATAGACAAAATCCAAATATCTGTGGTCACTCATCAAGAATCTCCGATATTCAACAGCAACCATCGTTAAACCTTGACAATATCAAGTGAGTGTAGATTTAATATTTTTTAATCTGTTCAAACTCCGACAGAGCTAAGCTATTACAGTTCAATAGATTCTTGCATCAGTAGAATTTCTAAAATTTTATTCTTGATTAGTATTTTTTTACTAATTAAATATACGTTTTAGTAATAATTGTCAAAAGAAATCGAACGAACGATATTCCACATTTGTATCAGCGTCCAATCAACGTAATAATCTCATTCAACATAATAATACTGATTATCATCATCAGGAATTATCCGCGTCATCCTGGCGTCTAAACGTACGAACAACACACTCTTACCGTGAACCATCATTTAATCATCGTTCTCAATACTCTTCGTCATCGATGACGTTAAATTGTGATCGTCACGAAAAGAATCATTACCATATCAATACATCACGACAATCGTATAGAAACTCAGAACATCAACCATTATCACAGAAAACATCATCATTAATTAGCGTGGCTGAAATCGATTATTTTGAAACTGAACAGAAAAAATTGTATCAAAGAGTAAGTCTTTCTTCCGTTGAGTATTTCATGGACGTTGATCAAGGTTTTTTTCGTATATTTTCATTGAGCATTATGAAAATGGCGCTGACTTTTTGTTGGTTCGACAATCTATTCAGCTATAGAATTATCGCGAACACATTATAATAAAACCATTTTTCATCAGAATTCAGAACCCATTCTTGCAGAAATAATTTCTGATGTAAAACACCATTTTAATTATTAGGATAGGAGGTGTTTGCATCTTTCGCGAAATAAATACTGTTAAGAGAAAAACTGATGGGCAGTACTATAAAGGAGGATTACATATAAACTTATTTATGCGTTTTAGTTAACTTCAACACTTGATCAACTGTATCATCAACTGCGATATTGTAATTTTAACAATTGTATCAATATTGATCTATTCAGTTGCATTATACATGACATTAATCAACGCCCTCATGTAGTATTTTGTGACGCATTATCTGTACAACATTCTGATCTATATCTGATGGAACGTGGTGCTAAATTGGAACAGTTTTTTCTGAAATTAGAAAATAGATCACGAACAAATCTGATTGAATCAATGAGACAGCTTATAATAAATATGAACAATTGTGTTGATCAACTACATAAAATGTATTCAAGATGTCTTACTACACTACGATCAGAACAACAACAACAACAACATCGCACTCAACCGCCATCGCTGCTGACGTTACGAACTCAAAATCAATTTCCATTATCAAACAACTTGGAAACAAAACGGCATAATGTAGATGACATCGATCTCGACATCGAATTTGTTGACGATCTGAAGGAGTGTAAACGACGAAGAAATAGTCAACAACAACAAGAATACTCTAGTCAAATATCTGATACATCTCCGTCAGAATCCTCTGTTGAAGAAGAAGAACTGCTTTCAACAGCATCAAGAGCCTATAGACAAAGATGAAATCCATTATTGTTGGAACTGTTAATTTATTACACGATTGTATCTGATGAGGTCGTATTGTTATAATGTATCTCTACTATACTGTTGTTCGCTCAAATTTGAGCGGATTTTCATGTTTTATTCCGTGGTTTATCTTAACTGTTTTTCTTTTTTTGTTATATATTTTACTGTTACATATTTTCTTGCTTTTACATCTGATAGAAATCCTAGGATAAGAAATATGAAAATGTCTGGTTCTTTTTCAATCAAAAGTATGTCGTTCGAAAAATCTTATATTTGGAAAATAATTAGAGATATTATCGCTTAGAATGGTCGCTCATCTTTTGAAAACGATATGTACAAGTCACATATGAGAACATAGTTTGTTTATTTTAGAGATGGTTGCTACGCGAGTACTATGCACGCTAGGTGCTCGAATCCTGTGGCAGCGGTAAACTTAGTTTAGGGATTATGCATATACAATAATATAAAAAAGGTTTTTTTAGTTCGACTTTATTACATCACAATACATTCGTACGTACGATGTCTAACATAACAAAAAGTCAAGTAGAATCTAGTCCGGATCAATCATTATATAATTTCTCTCAAGAAGAGTTAATGATCAAAGAAACAGGTATACAAGTATGACACATGCTCATATTACTCTCTTTTCAATAAACTTCTCTTTCAGTCGCTCGTTTTGGAAAAGAAAAAGTTGAACCGTTTGTGAAAGAAATGGAAGAAGATAGAAAATTTAAGCCGGAAATTCAACAGGCAATATTTGATCAAGGAGTAAGTGATGTTTTTTTGATGATTTGTCGATGTAGTAATCAGAACCTGCAAGCAGTCTAATGTACCGGATCTGACAACAGGTTATATAATGTTGATATAAATTATTAATGGTGAAGCCAAACTTTCATCTCACATTAAGTTCTCTGTATCTATTCTTTTAGTGGATGGGAATCGAAATACCTACGGAATTTGGAGGAAGTGGCTCAAATTTTTTTTCATGTATTGTTGCTATTGAGGAGGCATCTAAAGTAGATAGTGCATTTGGCGGTAAGTGCGTAATGTTGCGCCAAGAATTAGATCAAATATCATATTTGTTTACCGTTCAGGCTTTATTGATCTTCAAAACACTGTTGTCAATCCTTTTTTCATTAAACTTGCTAATGACAATCAAAAACAAACCTATTTACCGAAATTAGCCCAAAATATGGTAATAAATTAATTTGATTTTGCTTTTTTTTGCTATCTAGTTTATGGCAATAGAAATGTCCATTGAACTTGGAAACGATGGTTCAAGTATTTTTCATTGATTATCAGTTATCCAAATATGATCGATCCATCCGTTTATCAGTTGATTTGCCAAATAAATTATTAAATTGTCTTTTTCTTATCCTATAGATGAATAAAAAGAAATTTGGTACGATTAGCCAAATATTTGGTATGGATCATTGGCACGATAATTCTTATTTAATTCGTGTGTTTGCGTGTTGCGTGCCATGTTCAAATTGCTACTTTTCAAACATTATTTTGATCTGTTTTTTTCCTGTTGTAGGTTGGAAGTTTTTGTCTGAGTGAACCAACCTCCGGAAGTAAATTAAATGAATAATCAAAAGATGATCACTTTATTTATTCTATTTGTGTTTTTATGTGACGCATTTGCTTTAAAAACAACAGCGAAAAAACAAGGCGATTATTATGTACTAAATGGGACAAAAATGTGGATTTCAAATGCGGAAATAAGCGGTGTTTTTCTTGTTATGGCTAATGCTGATCCAAATGCCGTATGTTTTTTTATGATTAATATCTTATACCGTGTCAAAAATATTTTAATTCAACATTAAGAGTTACAAAGGGATAACAACGTTTATTGTTGATCGTGGTACCGAAGGAATGCGTATTGGCAAAAGAGAAGAAAAACTTGGCTTAAAAGCATCATCGACATGGTAAGAACGATACATATCACTTAATTTACGTTTCAATTTACTTGTGTTTTACATTAACTGTAGTCAGGTGCACTTCGATGATTGTAAAGTATGAGTAAACATTTCTATGTATATTCTTTCTTATTGTGTTGAATTGTATTTAGATACCAGCAAAAAATATTCTTGGACAACTTGGACACGGTACAGTTGTTATGAAATTGTTTAAAGCATTCTAAATATATCTTTTTTACTTAAGGTTATAAATATGCAATTAGTATGTTAAATGAAGGAAGAATAGGCATAGCTGCTCAGGTAAAATACTATTTGAGTTTAGTGCCGAAGTGTAAAACGCTCATTTCTGTATGAAATTTAAATAGATCTTTTTTGTTTGTCAGATGGTGGGTGTTAGTCAAGGTTGTTTTGATAGAACAATTCCGTATACAAAAGAAAGAAAACAATTCGGACAACGTATATTTGATTTTCAAGTAGGTTTATTTATATGAGAACATTGATTTCTATTTTAGACATGTTCTTTCATCCATTTTTAGGGTATGCAACATCAAATATCAACAATTGCCACTCGAATTGAAGCAGCTAGACTTTTGACATATAATGCAGCACGATTACGAGATGCTAATAAACCATTCATAAAACAAGCGGCAATGGCAAAATTTTATGCATCGGAGGTTTGTAGATGCCGACAATATTAAGTATGATAAGCTTTGATAATTTTTTCTTTGCGTTTAGCTCGCTGGACAAGTTACAAGCAAATGGTACGTTGAAAAGAAAGAAAATGATTTGATTCTACATGAAAAATTTCTTTTTTATCTGTAGTATCGATTGGATGGGAGGACTAGGCTTCTCCACAGACTATCCGCAAGAAAAGTACTTCAGAGATTGTAAAGTTGGAACAATTTATGAAGGAACAAGCAATATGCAATTGAACACGATAGCCAAATATATAGAAAACGAATATTAAATTCTGTGATTTTTATCATTTATTTATTTCTAACTGATATTTTTTACTTCTATAACCGAACTCGACGCCATTTGTTAATTTTGAATGTTTATCATAGGTTAATACAGAAACGATCATGTTTAAATTCTGGTGATTTTCGAAAATTTGTTTTGAACTACAAACGATCATCCAAACTTTTATTGAAATCAGATTTTAAAAAAAAGAACTTTGAAAGAAATTTGTATACCATCAAAAATTATAAATTTTGTAATAATGTTTTTCTCTTATATCTTACTTTCCCAATTGATCACCTTTCCATCAGCACTTGGTTGGGGACTCGAATGAAAGACTTATTTATACTAGGATGTGCAAGCACAGCTTGTATTGTGATAGTTAATAGAGAATATAACTAAGCATATTATATTAAAATGCTAAAAACTCGTTATTTTAACTGTTTTCTTTTAAATTCTTAGCAAGAATAAAATACAGTATTGAAGTTCATTTAATAGCGGACTAGCGATAAAGGTTTATGATTATTTAGAACCACATTCTCGTCTGCTCTCTTCTAGTTATGAGCAAGTTGAGGGCCAGAGAAGTTATTTTTCTGAGCGAGACGTCCCAAGGCGTAGATACAGAGCTAAAACAAGAAGCAAAACAGGCTGAAATTTATTTTAGATTATTGAGAGTATAAGTATCTTACTGTCACTTGTGGAATATCGTGTTTATCATATAAGTCGACAGCTTGAAATACTTCATTTCCATCAAGACCATATTTTCTAGCAGCGTCTTGAAATAGACCAATATTTTCTCGTAGTTTAATTGGACCACCAGTAGTATGAATTTTTGGTATAGAACCTGGTTGTAAAGTGTTCATTAATCTAAAATAGAGGATGATAACAATTGTATACTCATCTCACTCACACAAAATACAAGAAGAAGAGTTACTTGCAAAGAATAATGCCGTCTTTCAACGCATCTTCATACAAGCCCTCTGGAAATTTTTCTCTGATAACAGCTTCAATCCATTCTTGTGCTTTCTTTTCTACTTCGGAATCACGCTTAGATGCTTTCTAAATATTGAGATTTGATTATTACGTGTTACATATCCTATATAGTACAAGAAGTGTATTTTATATATAAAGACCGAGACCTAAAGACAGATCACTAATTTAGTTTTTCAAGTATTAGTGTAATTGTTCTTTTCAATGATATCGTTTAGACGAACTATTTCCAACTATTTAGTGTGAAATATTTATTTATTACGATTAAATCTTTTATTTTAATTGAACACAAAAAACTTACTTTTGCTGATACTGCACGATTTAAAGCCATGATTTATATAAATGTTATGGTAAAACTATTTTAATAGAATAATGTATTAGTCATAAGTGGTATATATAAGAATCATCTGACGTTGAAAGTTAATGTCGTCAAAAACCGATCGAAATTTCTCTACTTGATCAGTGAACTTTGGAAACAACAAAAATGTTGTTAAAATGTAGCATGAATTGTAATAGGACCCGTTGTTAATCTTGTTCGCCTTTATCAGATAGTTTTGGAAGTTATAAGCGATTTCCTGAAGAGTAATTTCTAGGCTTTTTTATTTTGGCTTCTGAAACCAGTTTTGTAGAACACACTCAAACTTTTAGAAAGTATAATTGTATGTATAATTGATTCTAGATTTAAATAGCTGAAATACATCCGCTTTACTGTAGAGGTGTCCACATATTTAATATTCTCTATTACAATAAAGAAGAGTCACAAGGGTAATCTACCAGACTTACCTTCTTGAACAATGCACGTTAGAAGTCAACTATTAATCTTTAACGATACAAAATCATAGTTATGTGAAAAGTCTTAATAACATTTTTGTTGTTCCCGATGTAATCACATGGTAGGATTTTGATCACCTCTTGATGACATTAACTTTCAGTCTTAGAATTTCTCGAATTATATATAAATTGGCTCCTAAATGGGCATGAAATGGAAAATAATTCTCTTTTATATACTTTATAAGAATATTTGTTTTTTAGTTTGTCTAGGTGAAAGGTGTCGTTTTTCTTATGTTTCCGTCTCCATAACCTACGCTATAGAACTGATAATATTAATGAGTTTACAGAGTTATTTCTATTATAAAGAAGCGTGTGGGAAGTTGTCCAGAAAAATATAATTTTGTTGAATGAAATACGCTAAATTAATCAACTGTATTTAAAATAAGAGATTTTGCTTTGAAAGATAACTGTGACGAATACATGACAAAAACGTTTTTTGTTAAAGATAACCATGTACAAAGAAAAAGTTATCACTATGCTGTCAACTATCATTAATAAATAAAAATCAACTGAGAAAGAGTGTAACAAGGATATCACGTTGCCGCCACATCAGTACTTCCAATATCAGTATTCCTAATTTCACGTTTTTCACCCCATATACATCAATTAGCAATGATATCAGACTTCACGACAGAAGATTACACATGCCAGCTCGTTTATATCTATATAAATAGCTCTTAATATAAAGTAATCAACAATGATGAATAGATCAAGGTCAGCTTAAGTAACTGCTAAATCATTACTAATGTTGCCGAATAATCGACTGACACGTGCAAAAACAACGACTTAAATGTAATTTTTAGCGACCGTAGTATTCTTTGTTTCTTAAACTGATAAATCTCATGGTATCTATTTCCTACTAGTTGGATATATCTGCTTGCATTAAATATTGTTCAAACAGACGACATTGTCTAGATTTTCAACACGTTTATCGTACAACGGTGCCCGTTATTGTATAGGAGAATCTCTTCTCAGCACGATAACTCATGCCCAAAACGGTCACTGAACTCAGTTTTCGGGTGGAAAACTGTAAAAAGATTCAAACAAGATAAAGCTGTACAGTCTAACAGTTTTTCCACGTTCAGCGAGAGACTCGAAATTGACTTAGTTTAGAATCTAAGCTAAAGAAGGAGAATAAAAGATGTTAGAAATAGTGTAAGGCGTGAGTTTTTTAACTGAATTTTATAGAACTACTACCGACGCCAAAATACCATATATCTGGTTATTTTCTGAATAACTTTCGATAGGAAAGAGACCGAGAGCTGCAGTTTTCGCCATTGTGTAGTCAGAAGTTTATGACAGATTCTCGCAATCTCAAACTAACATCGCACATAGACAATCGATGCTCCTGATCATCCTGGCAACGTTTGTATTCTTATGAAAAGTAAAATAACTTTAGATGGTGAAATTTCGTAAAAATAAGGCTTTTGACTTGGGGCCGCGATGAATTACAACCTTCGTAAAACCAGCAATTTTCATCCAAATCACTTGAAAATTTCAGGATCGATCACTTTTGTATTCAACTAAAGGTTGGTAGGTTTAAAACCCCGAAATTTGCAGCTGTCCGTGGATACGTTTTTCAGAGGATTTCTAGAGATCCTTTCGCCCTTAAGCTAGTCAAATCAACTTCTACAGGCTAAGTTAGATGAACCAGACTATATTTAGCTATTTCTGAAAATTGAAATTTGAAATCATGCGCTTGGGATGGAAATTACTGGTTTACGAAGATTGTAATTCATCGCGGCCCCAAGTCAAAAGCCTTATTTTTACGAAATTTCACCATCTAAAGTTATTTTACTTTTCATAAGAAAACAAACGTTGCCAGGATGATCAGGAGCATCGATTGTCTATGTGCCATGTTATTTTGAGATTACGAGACTGAGAGAAAGTCCGATCCTTATGGTTAGCGAAAAAGCATACCCCCTCAAAAACCAAGCAAAACTAAGAGACCGCTTAGATCCCATATTGTAGAAGACACTTCAGACTATCCATACCTATGGAGAAATATCGATAGTTTGATAGTTGAGTTGCTGGACACATGAGCTGGTTTTATAAAGACCGCTGAAAAAGCGGTCTTTGAAATATTTTAAGAAATATTTTTGCTTAAAGAAAGCTGCCTTCAAGTTTTGGCTACAGAATGGTGAAAACCGCAGGTCTCTATCCCTTTCCTATCAAAAGTTATTCAAAAAATAACCAGATACATGGTATTTTGGCGTCGAGTAGATGCGTTTCAAATATTGAGTCAGAAACAACTGAAGTGTACTCCATGACAGGATGAATGCATGTCGTACAGAGAAAAATCTCCGTTTTTAAGAATAGAAATGTCACAACAGGTTATCAGCAAGCATGCTGGTAACTGTGGCGGAATTTAAAATGGTAGATAGTTCGTTCATTGTTAAGCAACAGGCGCAACAAATGGTTCAAAAACTGACGTTAAAATCACAGAGTTTGGTAGAAGTCCATCCGCTTTTATCTGCTGTGTTCTATTTTTTATATAAGAGAAAAACGATTAAGGGAAGTTTTTCTCTGTCCCTACATTACTCAGCTTTGTAATGAGGATCTGGAATGGAAGTTTAGTAAACGCTTTGTATGATCATAAAAGACTTTTAACTAAACAGACTCGGACCTTTTCTATCATCATTTCAAATACATTTTAATATTTAGTTTACTATGACAAAGTGTCGATAGTGGATCGTTTAGGGCGTAAATCGAGTTAGGTATCGCGAAATTAAATCGTGTTTTTGTGAGCAATCAATCTACTAAAAATTCGGCTTACGTTGAAGATTAATGGGCACAGACGATGGTTCTTCACTACTATTTTGTCCCCTTTTTTCAGAAATTGGCCAAATATTCTTGTGTGTCAAGGAAAATTTGTCAGCTACTAGAAAGCAATAAAAGAGGTGCCAAAGTTGAAAAACGATTACGTTAGCTGAACGCTCTAGAAACTCGATGGTTACACTATCATTCCTTGTATGTCATATTATTCTGAATGTAATTTATCGCGAAGTAACATATTCTTTTGAAAATTAATTTAACAGCATTTAATTGTGGATTATTTTTAGCATCATGTTCAAATCGAGTTTATTTTTTGTTTCAGTTATCATCATAGTGAACAGGTGCCGTGTATAAACTTTTTATGATTGATATCAAACCTTTTTATTGCGTTGTTATAACAGGCGTGTTGCATGAGAAAACCAACTTCAGAACAGCTGATCCTATTGAGCTAAAACTCAGGCTGTAAGGGTTTTGAACTATGCTCTTTTATTTGGCTCACTTAGGTTTTTTCAAAACGCATAGATGCGGGGTTTCTAGAAAACCATAGTTTTTGGCATACCTGAATACAGAAAATTGTTTTTCTAGGAAAATGCTGTTGCTTTAAAAGATTTTTGAGATGACCATCGTATTCAAAACAGAATGGGTTACATTTTGAAAAAAATTTGAAGTCTTCATCGTACAATTCAAATTTTTAAAAATTTTACTTTTTTAACATTTAAATAACTCAGCACAGGTAAGTGCTGTGAGCGTTTTAAAGACGTCATTCGACAGAGAATCAAAAACTGAACAAACGTAGGGGCTTGTCGACGTTTGCATTTCACGCAGTCACGATTTTCTACGGATTTTATAGAAATTCTTATCAAAATTTTATTTTAATTTAACCTTTTTTAAACTTTTAAATGTTAAACGGTGGCTTAATAGTGTAGAAACTGGCGTAGGCCTACTTTTTGATGTAACACGCCTATTGCTTAATGTGTTAAATAATCTGCTTGCGTGGTTCTGTGAACATATTATTCGTACGTAGAAGTTATTGAATCAACATTTGTATTTGAATTTATTTTTATTAATGATATTCATCACACATTTGATCAAACAGTCCGATAACGTGTCCAATGTCACATTATTTTGTTCATCATTTAAATCTTTACATTGTACAAAACGAAACAAACTTTCACAAATGACTAAACTTTTTAGTTGTGTGCTTATTTTGATCGACACTGATAGAAAATTGTTATTATTATTATCAGATCTAATTGTTAAGAGGGATAAAGGCACTGAGAATACTTAAGTTATTGTTGATGGTCAAACATTTAGTATGAAAACTAGCATATCAAGATTCAATGACGATCGATAATTCCTTTCTCGGACACGTTTCAATAACATGGTTTTTAGACTGTTCTCTAAAAATGTCCTATTCTACTATTAAAATTTTTTGACATTATAATATATTTTTTTGGGGATATTTTTATTTCTAAAATTACCAAGAAAATTGTGTTCATTTCTTTTCAGTACTATTTAAGATAAAAAACTCCCAAATTTTAGAACTAATTTTCGAATTGATGTTTTTTGGTGAAGTATTTTATTGTCTTATTATACTGAGTTGTTCACATTGTCCGCGGATATAGACTATAAACACGGCAGATTTCAAATTGAATGACTCGTATGTATACATGACCCTATTCTTATCAATATATTTTCGTTTAGTATCCAACGTATGTCTTTTTCCTACGGATATAATTGTTATACCTATTTACATTCATTGGATATAGCGAATACTTGCGTCTCATCGTATCATAAGTTTTTTAACCATCGAAAGATGAAGTTCAATATATGAAATTATACCTTAAATAATTATATTCCTCTAGATCTAAACAAAAGCCAAATAAGCGTTCAAGAAATAGAGAAAAAGTGGAACTGGGTAAACAGAAAATGAATACGTAGAAGAGAATTTTATCTAAAAGAGTTTATTCTAATAGTGCATAAAAGACATGTATTTTGTGACTATGTGTGTTTGTGTATATATGAGACTTTTTCTCTTCATTTTTATTTTTAAAATTCATATGAGATGTAAGACAATATATATATATATATATATTTGAACGTCTATGTACAAAATAATAACCAGAAAAGAAAGACAAATCAAAACATACTCACACTCAAAAATATAGACACACACGCACACTCATATACGTATTTTTTAAAAGAAAATTAATACGGTGCATAGCGTACAGCTGACCGATCATCATAGATCACAGTACACACACCAAAAGTAATAAAATTTTCTCTTTTGTTTTTCTTCTGTTATCGTTCTTTTCCAAGATAAACGTCTGAAAATTTAGTACAATGTGTATATTTCATTGATAAAAATTATTTTTTTAAAACTAAATTCGATTTTGAAGAAGAAAAAAGAACTATATTTTTAATTGTATAAGACAGCAGCAAAACAGGTCAGTTTTTTTGAACGACTAGTTGGATTTTGAATGTTTAATACGACGTCTTGCACCTGGAGCTTAAATAAATTCGATTAGCTGAGTTTAATTGTATGAGAATAAAAACGAAGAAAAAAGATAGACATATTTCGATTAGATTGAACGTCAACAACGGGATATGAAATTAATATGATTCTTAAGAAAGATTTTTCATTTTGTTTTTAATCAAAGTCAATTTCAGAGACATAAATTCTTTTATTATTAAGAAATTGTAGTGGTATCTGACCAATATCGCCAAATATGACTTCCATTTGTAATATGTTAACATTTTTATGCGTGATTTATGGTTTGATTGGTATTATTGGTATTATTCAGTGTCTTGTTGGCATATTTTTAACAGTTATTCAAAATGATTCCATATCACTCAATCATTTAACAAAAACAATTAAATATGATGCCTATTTATTTTACATAGCCATTGCCTTTATTGGTTTAGGTTCAATTAGTTTACCATTAACAGGTCTCTCACTTCATTCGGCTATAAATCGTTTGAGATCCTTAATATGTCCCATTGTCCTCGTACTCATTGTCTGTTTACTTATGAATCTATTAGCATCGATTATCGCTTTTCTCTATTTTTACATTATCGTTCCTCAACTAAAATATTTGATGTTAGATACACTTAATAATCATTATTATGTTGAAGCGAAAAACACATCTTCTTTATTGGCATTGTCGTCCATATCATCACAACCGTATTCAGCCATAAAAGCATTAGATTATTTTCAAGAGAAATATCAATGTTGTGGAATTAATTCAAAACAGGATTATCTTTCATTATCGTCGACTCCTCGAATAGCTTTACCATTGTCTTGTTGTCGTAAAACATCAGTATCAGTTCTACCAAATAGTCAAGATTGTTGGAATCAAACAGGCGATGGAGACGGTATAAATTTAGATGGATGTTATTCAAATATTCATAAATTTTTAACTATTGAAATATGGCTAATCATTGGCATTGCTCTTATATCTGCACTGTTACAATTCCTTGCCATCATTTTATTAGTCAATACTTATCGTGATAATAAAAATCCAAAATTTATTATTAATCATACTAATAACAATCATGATGTGAATACAAAATCGATGGAAACAATCGAAGATACTGTTGAAATTACACAAATATAATTTTTAGTTTTTCAGTTTTTGATTTCTAAATTTGTCGTATCTGAAAATTACTTATCATCGTTGAACAAACTAAAATTATCAATTAGTTTTGTTGTCTATGTTGACTCTGTTTGCTTAGATAAGAGCAATGATAACAATTTGAAAACGTTTTAGAAAATTTTAAGTTTTATTTGTAGATATTATGAAAACAAAAAAAAATTTTTCTGAAATTTTTAAGAAATTGTTATTGTTTATATTTGGTTTGTTTTTGTACATTGTAGTCTCATTTAGTATTCATTTGGCATAAAATGATGTGCCCGTTTTGACATGAATCTAAGATCTTTTTGATTTACATACACATGCACTCAAATGAAACAATTGCTAAGAAAATCACTCGTCTCAAATATTACTTCGACATTTCACGAGTATCTGTGGTCATCATTGTGTCTTTATATTATAACTCAATATTGACTTTTTTTTGAAAGAATTTCGAATTTCTGGCAGGCGGAGAGGACCTTAAGTATCTCTTAAGGCTATTGCAACAAGCGCATTTTTTTAAAAGATACAGATTTTACAGTCTGTCCATTATCTAACGTGAGATGTACACTAACAAAATGTTCACAACTACATATTAATTCTTCATCTTGAACAATAATTTGTTTCGCTATATATTGTGTATACAAAGTTTACTGAACCACAAAGGTTCTCATTTGTTAACATTGTATATGTTTGTTTGTACTTCAATGAGTTTACTGTACAAATCAATGTTAAAAGATGAAATGTGTTTTATTCAGTGTCTATATGAGACGAGTAACAATGCACATCTTCACGATTTTCAAACAGGTTGATAACTGAAGTACTTTTCTGCTACATTCAACTTGATAACCTTATCTGTGTAAGTGAAATGTCAATTCTTGAACATCAGTATAATTTTCTGATGCTTTTTTAGATTTGAGCACGTTTATCTAACCCTTTTTATTACATATAATAAAAAGCTCATTCTACAATTCATTCTATCATCAATAACTAGCATGAATATATATATAAAAACTAAAATTAAACAACTTTTTCTGCAACAAAATTTGGTAAAATTTTTCGAACAATAAATTTAATAGCCAACGGTTTAATAACACGTATAGCAAATTCTTTAAATAAATATAGACCAAAAATAGTATAAGATATGACACGAAAAGTTTTCAATATTTTATCCTGTCGTTGTTTTAATTGAAGACATTTAAGATAAGGTATACGAGTAAATGCTATCATTGAATATAATGGTATCCAATAGGATGAAAATAATCGATAAAATAAATTGTCCACTTTTTTTCGTACTAAATAAGATGTTTGTGAAACGTGATCTCTCATTTCTAAGTAATTATAATATGATAAATCGACAATGGCATGTGAATTTGCTACACGTTGTTCAGAGTAACCCAAAAATGCTTGTTTAAAATCAAAATTGTAGGCATTCAATTGCTCAAATAAAATAAGACAATCTTCAAATGATGAATTCATACCTTGAGCATAAAATGGTTGCATAGCATGAGCTGCATCGCCTAGTATTACCATAGAGGCCGAAGATGAATGATGTGGTGCACATTTGATAGATATTAATGGTAATGGTTTAGATGAAAAATAGTTAGTAATTATATTTTTTTTTCCAATAAAATAGATAGCATCGGGAAAATATGTTTGAAAAAAATCAATTAATTGATCTTCAGTCTGAATGGCATTAAAAATATTTATGGGTAAAAACAATGTAGTGGTAAATGATTTATCCAGATTTGGTAAGGCGATTAACATGAACTCTCGACGAGGCCATATGTGTAAATGATTAGTTTCCATTGCAAACTAAAAAGAAGATAGAATAGTAAACATAACTTATATATATTATGTGACAATGATGAATGAGTTCTACCTCGCCGTTCATGGGTGCTATACGAAATTCCATGTAATGCGATGGTACATAATCTTGTGAAAAATTAATCTTTTCAAATTTCATTAATGCATTACGTACAGCTGAATATGATCTAGAAAATACAATGATCTAATTAAGTTGAAACACTGAAAAATATCTAATAAATATACCCATCACATCCTATAATTGCATCCAAATTAGAAAATTCACGTCTTTCACCATTGCCACTAAAAACAATAACTGTTGTATAATAAATGAATCAAAATACAAACTGTATCACACTTACTCATAAAATACAGCTTTTTTCTGATCCGGATCCCACGAGAAAAATTTATGTTCAAAGTGTATTGTGATATTTGGATATTTATCTGCTTCTATAACAAAACAACACCAGACACTTGGTAATTAATTAGATTAACATCGTATGCACACCTGTTAGTAACAATTCATTTAATATTCGTCTATCAATCGATAAAATATGCTAAAACAAAAATTACAATAATAACACAATAATAGTGAGGTTAATTATAAAAGTGTTACTTGATCTTTTGATGTACCATAGGGTATGGGATGTGTTCTGGTATCAAGATCGTGAATCATTCTGGCATACATCGGAATACCATTTTTAACAATTAAATCTTCACAATCTACATAATTCAATGCATCACGACCACTAGAAATTAAAATTTAATGTTGTCAACCTGAAAAAATTCTACAAAAATTTCTTTCTACCGTTTACTCAGTGCCATATTAATACTCCGTCCAACAACAACCTCTTGCTGACGAATATCTTTAGAGTAGATACAAAAAAAAGAATCGATCGTCTGTCGATCTGCGCTGTTACTTTTGTAAACTTACCTGATCGTAATTCAAATAAATGCACTTTTATGCCGTGTTTGCCAAAGAAACAGGCACAAAGCGCGCCACACTAGAAACAAACACTGGTATTAAGTATCATTTGGATCTGAGAGACGGTTAACAACGCTTACCAGGCCACCACCAACCACTGCCACAGTTTTTGAAGTATGATGTTTATCATCCATGTTGTTTAATTATCTAGAATAAGGTAGAAAAAATGAATTTATTTCTCAAACTACAAGTACTCCACACTGTAAGCAATCAACGTCTATAAGGAATCCCCCTCAAAAATTCAATTTTTTCTTCAAAACTGAAGCAAGCATATGGTTGAGATCCCAAACTGTCATCTGCAAAATCCATCTCAATCTGCCAAAAATTCAATGTTTTTGGAGGTGTTTGAAAAAGTCTTCTTAAAGTCCTAAAAACCACCTTTTTCTAAATTTCAAATTTCAGTTAAAACTTTTAAGGTTATCCATTCTAAGAGACATGGAGCTATGTAGAGCAGAGTGCTCTGATCAAAATGACATGTCCTGCAGGTATGTGCGACTTCGCCTTGCAGAGTTATACTGGTTTTGCTAAAGGCGCTGAATTATCATTACTGAAGTGATCACGTCGTTGCTTAAAATATGGTTTTGGCGCAGCAAAATTGCTACTCTCTCTAGACGTTTCATCGTAACACCTTCATTCTTTTTTTACTTTGAAGCTAAGACATTTATCTAAGTTTCCTTGGTACCGATTTGTATGTCGACAGACATTGTGTTTTTGACTGGACTTTGTTTTTTCTTGTTTAGCGATCTTTTTTGTGAAGACTGGCCAGCGCATGTTCTTTTTTCAGATCATAAATTCCACAAGTGGAATAAAAATGTATTTTTAACTTAGAAGTTATTCACAGTTCATTAGCATCAGTTGTCCGGCGCCATTTGTTCTTCAGAAGAATAAAAATGATTTTCTCTCTCTCATTAAGTCGACTGAGTGGAACTCAAGGAGACTTATTGCTTCTCACCCAGAAAAATTCTCCTTTCGTTCTTTGTTTTCACACTGTGTTTTCGCGTTTTATCATACACACTATGGGTAAAGATCATTCGGAACTAGAAGAAGTCGCAGATGACACATCTGAAGTTAGTTTTTGTATATTCGCTTTAGTTATCCTATATTAGTCCCACAAAATGAGTATATTTTTTAGAAAACTCTATCGTTTTTCCTATGAGATAATTAATCGCCACGTGATTACCACAGTGAATATATGCTACAGTGCTTGATATGATAAAAGCTATAGGAGGATATATAACACGATAGTGATTTATCTGATATGTCAATGTGAATAATTTGCCACAGCAGATGTAAGATAAAAAAAGCTTCTTCCTCAGAGTTAATATAGTTTTGGGGGGAGTTACCCCCCATACTTTTTTAAAAAATTTGGTCAAATTTACTCCCAATTTGTGAAAAAAATATGAACGATTTACTCCCAAATTTGGGAAAAGATAAGAACGATTTACTCTCATTTCGCAGAAACTCGGAGAGTGATTTATTCCGATTTTGAACAAAATGAAGACCCATTTACTCCCGTTTTGGAGGAAGTGATGGGTCCTTTATTCCCACTTTTGAATTTAATAATTGTCCATTCAAAATAAAATCGAGCTTGTAATGGGCTAAATGCACTTGGAATACACTTAGAATACATTAGTGCTTTAAACTTCTGCATTTATTCAAATCACTAATGTATTCTAAGTGTATTCCAAGTGCATTTAGCCCTCAATTTTATTTTGAATGGATAATTATTGATTAGAATTCTTTTGCAATGTATTTAAGGCAAAATAAAACTGCCCCCAAAAAAAGTCTAAGAATCACGAAAGGAAGCACTTTTTTTTTCTTGGCCGTTAGACCAAAAGCGCTAAGATAGCGAAGTAAAGTCATCCAACAAAGTTTGTCAGCGTTGTCCTAGCGGGTAAAAATATAAACACTTCTCCGTAGATACATGCAAAAGAATTCTAATCAAT